AGGTGTCCCTGCCCATGGCAGGGGGGTTGGAACTGGATGGTCTTTGAGGTCCCTTCCAACCCAAACCATTCTGTGATTCTATGATTCTATGAAAGGGAACGTTTGAGAGAGTTTCTGGTCTCAGCTTCACTCCTCCATACACACTCAGATCCAGAGAAGGTTCCTGCATTTCAGGATATTTTTCTGCCTTGGTCTTCAATTTTTAATGCACTGAATGTGCTCCAAAGAGCATCATATTCTCATACTTCAGAAACGTGATGAAACAAGTAATATTCACAAAAATTAGCTGTACATACATCGTGTATGTATGTCTTGCTGTCAGTAAGTCAGATGCTACACCCTTCTACAATATATCCATTTCAAGACTTATAAAACCTACCACATGTGTACAGATCAACAGATATTTTAATTCAGCAACCACAAGCCAGCTCATCCTTGATTACTGCTAATGGTGCTATAAAAGGCCAATGCCTGTGTGAGAGGTCACAGTGGGAATTAAAATAAATTGAGTTTCTCATTACAAAGACTTACTCATGACCTTCTTTCTACATGGTAACAGTGAACAAATGACTTTCGTTACGCTCACACATGGTCAAATACTTCCATTATCTACACGAGCTTGTCAGAGTGGTTGCTTTGTCTTAAATCAAGGATTATCTCCTCAGCTAAGTGCCAAGCAGCTCTCAACCAGCATGAGCAGCACATATACTAAAGTGTGTAACACAACACTAATCATATCGGTATTCAGCTTCTATTCATTTATTTTTTTAATTACGGCATGACAGCTCAGCTATGTCGGACAGTCAGCAGGAGTTCATTGGAACAATGGAAGTAATTATGAAAACAAAAATCAAACACAATTAACCAGATTTAACTGCTCTACTATAAAAGCTTTTTCCAACTGCTTCATACATTTCCTTGCATTTGTTACAGTTAATCTTATCCCAGTAATCTTCCGTTTGTTTTCAGAGCCACTGAAATGAATATATACAGTTAAAGCTGTTTATACACCAATCCCG